GCGCACAGCCCCCGCGCGCGGTCGTCGAAGGAGCAGCCGCGGCGCGGCCACACGCGGCCGGACCACCCCAGCGGCACGTCGAAGGCGGCCTCGTCGCCAGGGGCCAGGTGGAAGCCGCCCGACTGCGGCGTCGGGTGGCCGGTAGTGCCCAGCAGGCCAGGCCAGATGGATTCCGTGCAGTTGTTCACCAAGATCAGCTGGATGCCACTCCCATTCCCAGTACCTGCACCATCTGAATGTCACATTACATGCTGATCGATCGATGATACACAGCAAATTGAAATGGTCGTGCTGCTCATGAATGCATCCATTTTCTTCTTCAAATGAAATAATAATTAATCTATACTTACTAGTGCTGGTGACTAATAACAATGCCACTGTGACAAAAATGTTGATGAGGTGCAGCAGCTGGGGCTTGTTATTAGAGGCCAGGGCCATGGTGCCGAATGCAATAGTACGTAGCTACTGTACGTGGATCAGAGAGACGGGACGACTAGATGCTAGTAGTAGTCTCTTTGAAGTGGTGTGTGTGTGTGGTTAGTGTGGATATGCTGGAGATCGAGAGTCAGTAATCTCATCATATATATGCCTCGGTGCTGCTGTATATGCATCTGCAAGCTTTGCTGCTACTGAACTACTGATCTGATCCTCCAACTATAGTCATCATTACTTAAAGGTGGTTTATTTGGCCTGGGGATTTGGGAAAGATGCAAATAAAAAGCATTGCGGCGCCCTGGAGCTAACTAGCTAGCCGTAGGCCGTAGCAGTGGTGATCTTTACTGCCTTTTGCTCATCTGAAGCTAGGTTGCTCTCCCTTCTTTGGAAAATGACACTGTAGAAACTAATAAATTTTTAAAAGATTCGTCTCGCCAATTACGGACAAAACTGATTCTGACAACATTATCATTGCAAGTGTAGTGGCTCCCATCATGATATCATTACTGCCTTTTGCTGTCGAGCTTATTTTTTGACACCATGCACTTCCCTGATGATTACAACAGGATCGTGGCTTAGTTTTGGTATAATCGTACTATTTTGTCTCTGATGAAAATTTCTTTTGGGCGGAATAAAGATTACATCTGAATTTACTCATAAGTATAGCAGCGCATGCAGGTAACACTAACACTGCTCTTCTGGGTAACTAATGCATAATAATAAATCTAGACATCTAGTTCAGCTTCAGAAAGCAAATGGGAGGGACGACTCTGATCCTCAAGTGTAGTGTTGATCTGCAACTTAGGATGACTTTTTTTTTTTTTCGGAAACGGATTGCAATCTCAGGATCTATTCCTTGCTTTCGATTTGGGGTTTCTTCTTGCCTCGTCAGCCTCGCCTGATATGCATCTATAGATAGAGACTTGGATAACCAAAAGGCTGAGTCGAACTAAGTGGATGGACGGACACTTTCCTTCCTGTAAGGAATATCTGTCTGCTCCTCCATCTCTTTTGCTTTTCCCTTGCCAGATATTTCCGTCATGGCAATCTTGTGAAAAGTACGGGTGTTCCTACATATCTCATGAAACCATCACGGATATTGTTCCGCCGCTTTCCACATCAGAAAGCATCATGTATGTTATTAACAATGTACGTATTTCTTCATTTCTGACACTGTTATGCATGTCACACCTCAAGAAACTCCCATGCATCCGGACAGTCCCATGTCTCTAACAACCCCTATTTCAAGTTTAAATAATAAATAAAATTCAGAGCTTTTAATTTTTGAATAAATCCCAGAATAAAGAATTACCCGTATATCTATATCTATATCTATACTACGAAGAAGCGAAAGAATTGAAAATAACTTCTACTCCAAACTTTCTTACCCACCTAATATCGGGACCGTTGATGGCTTAATCTCAATTAATCTAACGGTTCTTGTTAATCTAAAAGTGGGCCCATAGCAATCTTACGCGTAAGATCTTACGCCTTGTCTCCTGCGGCCGTGCTCCCCTGGTGTTTTTTTTTCATCGAGCGATTGTTTACCCGCCCGCGTGTACGTTACCATCTCCCTGAATCACGCTTCCTTCCCCACCGCTGTTTCCTTCTCCGTGCCGCTCGCGCTCCAGGCCTTCGTTGCGCTCCCCATTCGTGGCATCGCGCCCGTCGCCGCGCGCCCCATCTCCCACCAGCCCACGCCTACGTCCACCCTCCTCCTCTCGCCCCCGTGCGACGCCCCGGCCTCGCAACCCCCGGCCAACAATGTTCCCGACGGCCTCTTTCCCTTTCCCTCTCCATCTGCATCTCCCCTCCAAATCCTTCCGCATAGCCTCAACGATGGCGGCGGCGTTGGCCGTTGATGTTGATATCCAGGCTGGGAACGCGGCCTGCGCAGGACACATTGTCACCATTGGCCACCTTGACAGTGAGGGCACCTGTGTTCGTCACAGTGGCTCCAACTCGATGAGCAACGGTTCGTTGATAAAATTGTGTGTGGATCCCGTGTCGAGAAGAGCCAGCAGGTCATGCCCATTGATGCTAACACGGATCTGCATGGTGTCCTTGGTATGGATCCCGGCGATGGCGTGCAAGGAGCCCACAGGCTCAGTAGGCAGCTCCTCTGTGGATTCATCCGGAGTGTGATCGTCCTCATAGTCGGCGGCCTCAATGTAGAATAACCGTTGACAACGATGGCCGCGGACGTACTGTTCATCGCAATTATAGCACTAGCCCTGCTTGCGCCGGTCCGCCAGTTCTGCAGGAGAAGAGCTCTGCCTTTTGGGAGGGCAAGAAGTTCTCAACGTGGCAGATCAGCGACAGGAATCGCTCCTGGTAGTCTTGCACAGAATTGCCGAACGGAAGCCGCGCTAGAGCACCAAGCCGGTTACTCCGGATTGGGGGTCCGAAGCGCTGGTTGCAGAGGTGCTTGAATGTTGGGGTGCCGTCATCGCGCTCCAAGGCGAAGAACCAGTCATGGGCGGCACCGGTAAGGTGGTAGGAAGCCAACCAAACTTTGTCCGCCTCTAAGGTTCGCTGGCCGCGGAAGAACCGTTCGCACCGATTGAGCCAGCCAAGGGGGTCTTCCTTCCCACCATCGTACGTGTGGAACTCCAATTTGTGGTACTTGGGAACCCCAGCGCCGGCGAGCAATGCGTCCGCCGGATCCTGGTGGTTGTTCCATCCTGGTATGGGTGATGGCGACGGTGGGAACGGGATTTGGTGGATTGGAAGGGGGTGGGATGTGTGGTGGGTGGAATCTGGTGGATCCGAAGGGGGTGGGATGCGGTGGGTTGATTCAGAGGCAGGGGAGTGGTGTTTGGCGGAGGCGCATGGCTGGCGCTAGCGGACGCGGCCGAGGCGGCCGCCTGGCCGTATCCATAGGCGGGCGGCATGCCATACGGAAAGTTGATGGAGCCGCGCGACCTCGATGGCGCTCGACCTCGGAGACGCGTGACGAGAGGCCAGTGAGCTGAGTGGCCATGTCGCTCATCTGCTTGGTGACGTCGGACACCATCTTGGTGAGTTGCTCGAGACCTTGGGGCGTGGCGGTTGTCTGTGCCGGCGGCTGCTCCTCATCCCGTGAACCTGGCATGGTCTCTGATACCAATGTGTTAGTGCCTAGGGACCTCAGGGAGTAGGAATGGGAGATGGGTGGCCGTCGCTTCCAGGAACTCCGGCGAGCCGGCGCCGTGGGAACTGGAAGAGGGGAGGAGCGCAAGGCGCAGGGACAACTGCTACTGCTGTCCTGTTTAACTTCTTATTAATCACTGGTGCTTGAGTCTTAATACAGAATTAGCGCGCGCACACACACACGCACGCCTAACTCGTCCCTAAGACTCAGATGAGTCAGTTGCAGCCATGATTGTGGGCTTGCCCACGTTGCCTCACCCTGTCTTCTTCTTCCCCTTTCTTTTGTAAACTGTTCAGGTCATAACAAAAACACTGTAGAGTATTGTAAATAGATGTAGGGGATGATTGGTTGCTCGTATCCCAACATCCGGCTCGGTGCGGTGTAAGCAGGGGCGAAGCTACATTGTGCATAGGGGTGCAAATGCACCCTAAAAAATATAAAAAACTTTTGATTTGGTTAAAATTTCATCATATATGTACCCTCCAGAATATATGTCTATGCACCCAAAAGACAAATGCACCCTTCTCTAATTTCTTCTAGCTTTGCCACCGGTTGCCAGGCCCTAATGCCTTTGTTGTATGGCAGGATGCAGATTCCCTCTTCCATTCTAGCCTGCATGGTACACAAGATTTGGCCTTCTCTCGCGAGCCAGGTTGAGGTGATACATGCACAATGTTGGGCTCCACTTGCAGCCACGCAAAATAACTCATCACCAAACCAACCAATCAACAACTCTCTCCATCCCGGTTCAGTCCATTTACAAACGAAACAAATGCGCATGTATGCTTGTGTACCGGTCGCGATAGGCCTGAATCTCGTCACCATGCTGGATGCCTCGTTGAATCGCACCAATCACCCTCTTAGTGCACAAGCAGCAACAGCCAGCTGCAGCCATGCGCGCGAAAAAGGGCAGCCGAGCAGCCAAAGTGAGTAAGGCAGGTGCACCAGCTCGAGTGGCCGGAGATCATGGCGAGCAACGGATGGGTCTATCAACAACGAGCAGCGAAGCATCGATCATGATTTGTGATTGATTTTTTATGTGATTCGTGGCTATGTGAACGTGGGTTTCTTTTGTTCAATCAATGGAAATGTATTATGGATATGTGAATTCTTAATTTTATCTTTGTTTTTTGCTAATAATAACATGAGGTACCAGCGGGCTCAAGCTGGCATAGGGCAAGGCTAACCATGCAAACATCCGCTTTTGGCCTAGCCTGTCCCGCAGCCCAGCCACCCCGGAAATCTTTGAGTCCAAACGGGTGGACCCGAAGCTCCGTCCGAACAGAGCGTCCAAGCACTGTTTTTCTTCCCCGAGCAGGTGGGAATCGGTCCAGCGTGGCCTACAGCGACGTGGCCCACGACAAGACCCCACCCGAGCTCGCCGGCGCCTCGCCGTCTCCCTCCTTGTCTCCAAATCCGGTGGGCTTACAAGGAAGAGGCCCGGGGGAGGCAGGCCAGCCAGGCAGTGGTGATGGTGTCCGGGCGGCTTAGGGCCCTGGCAACGGTGGCGCCTGGGCTAGGTCGGGGCGGGGGCGTTGCGGCAGTGGTCGCCAGCGAGCCACATGGTGGTGGCGGCGGGAGTGGGGGGGCGGGGAGGGAAGAAGGTGGCTGCCGCGGCACGGTGGGGGCTGGGCGGGGGTGGCGTGTGAGAGGCGTGTGGAGGCGGGAAGAAGATGAACAATGTTGCATGCGGTTTCCGTCCGAACACCTGGACGATAACATTCCCCAGCCACCCCCATCCTCCTCCACTTCCACCCGATCCAAGACCTCTTCCAGCCCAAGCTAGGTCAGCCTGATGGGCTAGTAGAAAGCCAGCCCAATTGAGGAACCGAGGCAAAGTAGCAGCTCGTCTGACCCTTATTCAACCATA